TGATTGATTGATTGATTGATTGATTGATTGATTGATTGATTGATTGATTGATTGATTGATTGATTGATTGATTGATTGATTGATTGATTGATTGATTGATTGATTGATTGATTGATTGATTGATTGATTGATTGATTGATTGATTGATTGATTGATTGATTGATTGATTGATTGATTGATTGATTGATTGATTGATTGATTGATTGATTGATTGATTGATTGATTGATTGATTGATTGATTGATTGATTGATTGATTGATTGATTGATTGATTGATTGATTGATTGATTGATTGATTGATTGATTGATTGATTGATTGATTGATTGATTGATTGATTGATTGATTGATTGATTGATTGATTGATTGATTGATTGATTGATTGATTGATTGATTGATTGATTGATTGATTGATTGATTGATTGATTGATTGATTGATTGATTGATTGATTGATTGATTGATTGATTGATTGATTGATTGATTGATTGATTGATTGAATATAGTGGTTGACATTTCCTTTGAAAACCTATCGAAATTTATAAAACGTTCATCTGACGGTGCATTCCAGTCAAACCCGTGGAACAGACTCAATGACGTTTTTTTCCTCAGTATGTAAAAGAGCAGTATTAACTATTAACTCTCATCAGATTTGAATGATCAATTCTCAAGTTGATACCTCCAGAAATCGTTGATCTTTTTAAAAATTTATCCAACAAATATCTAGGCAAAATTACATTCATGGCTATGCATTCAAGAATTCAAGTCCTTCAATGTTTGAGTAACTTTGAGCCTCTAACAATTCAGGAATGGATTGGAGGAATGACATCGATTTTTTATGAAGATTGAGGTGATTTTTCATTGACAATTTTGAATTCATTACAACACTCAGGTTAATGGCTTGTTCACAAAATTCTTTATGCCGATCATCGACAAACATTGAACTTATGCCAATTTTTAGCCATTGAACCAAGCTGCAAATTGCAAAAACTTTGTTTTACAGTGATTACATTTGAACCCGTTTCTTGTCATTCATTCATATCATATCACATATCAACATATCATATCACATATCAACAGCCGACAAACAGGAAACTAATGTACGTTTCTCATATTATAAATATATGATTTGATGCTTCTATTTCTCCATTCCTTCAATTAATTTGCAATCTCTATATTTAAGTACTTTAGGTATGTAATTTACACTCACATTATATACATATATTACATATGTAAAGTATATAGATACACATATAATTTTATACACATACACATTTATATAAATATTTATATATGTTTTATGTGTTTTATGTGCACCATAGTGACAACGACAACGATGCCTGCTTATATTTTGCCTGGCATATTTAAATAGAATGGTGGTGGAGAAGATGGATGCGCCGTTCGTGCTTTTTAATTATGCGTTTTAAATCAAAGTTTTTCTTCAAGTTTTTCATTCTTATTTTTATCATATGGATTCCCTTGCTTCTACTGCCACTTATACTCTACGGCAAATGCTCGCACAGTGGCTCTCCCTACTGCCAATTATTTTCCAGTCCATATTTTCCCGACGCTGCTGATGGGGGACATGGCACGAATCAACAAAGTGAAAGTAAATTCTGAATGAATGTAAAAATGATTGTTGAATTGAAAACTTTGTTTCAAATGAAAATTAATTGATAAATTTTTGATCAATTTGTTGAATTCCAAAAGACAAGTTGAAATAAATAAAAAGTTGAAGAGTATTTAAAATTTAAATTTAAAAATGAATATGCTTGTCTATGATCAAAGATTCAATGTTACTTATTCAATTGGTTTAAAAATAACAGATGGTTTTGTTCGACATGGAGAAATGGGAGAGCCTGTTAAATTCCAGCCTGGAAGGGAAAAGGAAATAGAAAGGCTTTTTAAAATAAACCAGTTCAACTTGCTTGCCAGTGACCTTATATCTGTCAACAGAACATTACCTGATTATCGAATGTCAAGGTCATTGGTTTAGTTTATGCTTCTATGAATTCACTTTTAAAGTAAATTTAGAGTGCTCTATTTTTCTAAATGCAGAATTAATAGAAGAATTTGTATGAAATTTAAAAAAAGTTTCTAAATGTTGAAAGAATAATTTATTTGAATATTTGAATTTCTCAGAGATATATTAATTATAATATAAATACTACAAATAATAATTCATTATCTAAATAAAATATTTACTTAAATTGAGTTAATTTGCATTTTTGGAGTATAAGACTATATAAATCAAATTATTTACAGATGCCCGAAACATCTATCCCAGTCATATAAACTTCCTTCAACCAGTATTGTTATAGTTTTTCACAATGAAGCTTGGTCAACACTTATAAGAACCATATGGAGTATTATTAACAGGACACCAAGCAGTTTATTGAAAGAAATTATATTGGTGGATGACGCCAGCGAAAAAGGTTTTCCTAAAAATTTATTTTATTTTATAGTTTCAACTGTTACATTTTTTTTATTTGGTTTATATGTTTTGAATTATGCATACTATTTGGTAATGTTATTTTAATTTTAAAACGATTTATGAATATTTTCTCTTGTATCAGTATTGGTTTTGTCGTGTTTTTATTTTATAAAAATGCTCATTTTCAGATTTTCTAGGTGTACGTCTTGATGATTACATAAAATCAATCAATGCAAATATTCAGTTAGTTAGAATGCATGAAAGAAGTGGTCTGGTTAAGGCTCGGTTGAAAGGTTGTTTGTTGTTTGTTTTGTTTTGTTTTGTTTTGTTTGTTTGTTTGTTTGTTTTGTTGTCTGTTTTATTGTTTATTTTACTCTTTTCGTTCTGAATTTGAAAAGTAAAACACAAAGGATACATAATTTAATGATATGCTTTAGTTTTATTTCAAAACAAATTTGAATTAATCTTTTCAAGTGAAATGCCTTTTTCAATGCACATAAATGTTACCAAACATCTGCTATCGTGTATTTATGAGTTCGCGAATTTTTATTTCATTTGATACTTTTCCAACCATCATCATCTTTTGAACCTTTTAACCTTTTTAACCTTTTCATCCAAAATAAGGTGCTAGTATCGCAAAGGGAGACACCCTAACCTTTCTGGATTCCCATTGTGAATGTACAGAGGGCTGGCTGGAACCTTTACTCTTTGAAATTTATAAAAATAGGTTTCGTCTGATTTTGCTGACAGATTTTTTTTTTCTGATTATTTATTTCCTATTTATATTCAACTAAAATCTTATTCAGATAATATTTACGCATTATATTATTTATGGTTATATGACATTTGTTTTTCTAAATACATTATATTTCAATATGTTAAAAATGTATCTTTAGATTTCAATAAATCAATCATCTGTGTGAGTGTGTGTGTGCGTGCGTATACCGGTTATATGTTATATAATTGACTGGACCATCATGCTTATGTATGGTGATATAACCTTTAATCTTATCTGTTATTCTATGTTCAATTTACTTTTTTCAATTTTTTAGCTTGGGTAATTCTTTCTTTTTTTTAGCTGAATGACGCTAAGTTGTGAGAATATTTTATAAAAGTTTTTACAATGGCCATGACAACATTTACCAGTTAGCAAAGTTACAAAAATGCGTTCTAATACTTTATAAGCAGCATCTTCAGTCACAGATTTTTTTTAAAACCCCACACCTTTCATTGATCTCATTTCAATAACACATGACTGAAAATAATTTCTTAACAGGAAGACGATAGCCAGTCCAATGATTGACGTGGTGAAGGATGATACGTTCCAGTACGTCAGGGGGGCCAGTAACATGTGGGGAGCATTCAGTTGGACGCTCACCTTCAAGTTTGTGCCCCTACGTTCGTTTCCACCAACTAAGTTACCAGCCTTACTGACTCAATGTTAATCATCTTTTAGATCGCCGCGATGCTGGTTTATCATTCATTTTTATGAATTCAATACTTAACCATTGTTGAATTTCATAAATATTAGTGAAATACTTATTACTTGTTTACTGAGATGGACGAGGCATAGAGTAAATAAATTTACTGCATCATATTGCGAATGTTCAACAATTTTATCCATTCTGTCACGATCATTTCATTAATTTATTAGTTACTTACTTGAAGAAACTTATTTTATTTCAAATGAGTGTTGGAGTTGAAAAGAAAAATATGTTGGCTTACACCCAAAATCGTCACAAGTCGTCTTATACACATTGCATGATCCAGTTCATTATTTTTATTTTTATCTTTACAGTTTTTTTTGCTTCGTTGTCATTATCTTCATCTTCTTCATCATCGTCGTCATCATCTTCGTTATCGTAATTATTTTTTATCAACGCTCTAGTTACTATTCTCGTAATCGTCATCATTATCATCACTTTCATCATTATTGCTATATATTCGCAAACATCACGATCATCTCATTCCCATCATCTTCTTCATCGTCATCATCATCACAATCAACATCATTGTAATATTCATCTCAGCAGTCATCATCATTTTCTTCCTCACCGTCATTTTGAATAAATCAGGGCAAAATTTTAACAAGTTCTGCTTCATCACATCGTTATTTAATCTTTTCACTCTTTCACTCATTACTCTGTGTAGAGTAGTTGTTTGCAGTAGTGTAGTTGTTCTGGGTAGTGTAGTAGTTCTGAGTAGTGTTGTACTTTGGAGGAACAATCTCATAACTCACCGCTAGATTTTCTTGTTTCACTTGTTCTTATCTATCAACTTTGATTTCTCCTCCACACTGCTGCTTTATCTCAGTTGTTCATATTCATGCTTGGGAGATATACTTTTATGCCAACGTGCTCTTGTGTTGGTGATTGTCCATTGCATGTGGTTAAGTGTGCGTGCAACTGTACGTGATTCTTCCTTTATAAATTCAATCACTTTAGTGTTCTGATTTGTTTACTTGGTTAAGATCAGCTTGGGTTGCATTATTTAAGATGTTTTGATAACAAATAACTTAAAGAAGAGTTCTTTGCCTGCATATCAAAAAGTAAAACGGATTATCCAATCTGAAGTTTTTGAGTTAACTGTCCTGTTGTAACTTTGACAAATTTGAGTAACTTTGAAGGGACTTTTAAAAAGTTGTAACTTTGATTGTAACAAATTAAAAAGCCAAGACGATGATGATGTTGATTTGAAATTTTAGCGTTGTGATTGAAGTGTACGGTTGGTTGGTTGGTTGGTACTTAAATTAACAAATCTTTACTTAATAAAATGACATTGACGATCATGTTAATTCATGAATGTACAAGTTGTAAGTACAAATGTTTACTCTGTGTTTTAAAAGGAATCAATATGCACACAGGCAGTTACAACATTAGTCGTCAATATTTGCAACGAATGTTTGATATTAAAAATAAATTGAATTAAATTAGGAGTATGCAAATGCAAGCTTTCACCATCGTTTTTAACGTCACGCACTGTGGTATTATTTTTTTCGCCACGTGTCTGCGTGTGTTTAGTGTATATATTTTATATTATATGTATATATATATATATATATATATATATTTGTCTGTGTGTGTGTGTATTTGATTTTTCATCATTGACCATCTGTTCTCTTTAAAACTAAAATTATTTCCAATTACTTATTGTTTCTCATCTACAAAATTTAAATCGCTGTGAGTTGTTTAACAAAGTACGTGTTTAGAAATAAATTTATATCACAATATCCTCATTTAAGAAAGTTTAAAGAACGAATTGTATAGATTACATCGTTACATCAATTACGCTTTTGATCATCCGGCTTTAAGAAAAACGTGACGTCTTCATCATCACCTTTATTCATCATCTTCATCATTCATCCTCATTCATCATCACCTTCATTCATCATCATCATAATCTTCATTCATCATCATCATCACCTTAATTTATCATCCTTCTCATTCATCATCATCATCTCCAATCATCTTCATTCATCATCATCTTCTTCTTCATCATCATCGTTATCATCCTTCTCATTCATCATCATCTCCATCGTGCTTTGTTATTATGCAAATTGAACATGACAGCAGTATAGTAACTAACTACCTAGATGAGGCATGTATGCGATTTTCTTTTGCACTCGATCAACAGTTGACAGCAGAGGTTTCGAACTATAATATAGGAGCAATATATCATCGTACTAACATAACAAATAGAATACTAATTGATTAACATATTAAGTAATGCTTTTTTAAATTCTGCCTTTCTTACTACCACAACCGCTGCTAACACTGCATCAAAATTATTTCCACAACAGCATGTGAATACTACTTTTACTTTAATAAAGGTGGTACGTCTTACCGGAGCGAGAGATGAAGAGGAGGAATTATGATAAGTCTGAACCAATCAGGTAGATGATGAAGATGATGATGATAATGGTGGCGAGAGTGTTGACGACGATGTTGATAATGATGCAAGTATAATGAATCTATTTATAAGTATAAAATTAAATAAACGTATAATAATAAATATAATTTAAATGTAACGATAAGAAAAAAATTCTCTCGATTTCAACATTACGCAGCAGTTGTTTTTGTTGTTGTTGGCAATGTTTGACGATAATGGTGTATAAACAAATGGGTATTTGTAGCAAGCAGTTCTGGCAATGACGTTAAAGGCATCAAAGATAATTCAGTGGAGTACAATTGTAGTGCTAATAAATAATAAAATAAGTTAAATATTTGGTTATTTATTGAGAAATCTTGCTAATCGCTGCTGACTAACGAACCATAATAGTAAGCATTTAAACGAATGGTATAAAACATAATTAAGAATATAGAAAAAGTACACTTTCCTATTTATCACTACGACTACCGCGATAAACAGAACGCCAACAATAGCTGGAGGGCTGTTCAGTGTCGATAGAGCATTCTTCTATGAGATGGGAACGTATGACGAGGGTATGAATGTCTGGGGAGCCGAAAATCTTGAGATCAGTTTCAGGGTTACTGAGATTTCTGACATTAATCATTATCGCAACAATAACCATCTACGACACATTAATAGCATTTCAATAACGTTTATGTACACTGTACCTACTTTATTTATATTTGTTATTCCGTGAAGACGTGGATGTGTGGAGGGCAGCTGTTGATTGTACCATGCTCACACGTTGGACATGTCTTCCGCAAGAAGACACCCTACACGTTTCCCGGCGGGTCAGACAAGGTCATTTTGAATAATAACGTCAGACTCGCTGAGGTCTGGTTGGATGAATGGAAGAACTTCTATTACCTCGTCAGACCAAGTGAGTTACCATTCAATTCATTTTAATTTTTTTACGTTTCATATTTTTTTTTTATTTTATTCTTATAGCGTGTCGTGCAGCTATGCGTGATGCGGATTTGTTGGAGTCGTTTGAGGTTAAATGTAAAAGTTGTGGTGTCGGGATTTGCGCGTTGTTTGATTGAATGCCTTTCTACAACGACTTCCTGAAACTTTCCATGTTATATTTTTTCAGATTTTTAACTTGTTATTTAACCTTTCACGTAAGAAAGAGATAGTAAAAGTTCATTTTGAAATTTGAGAGTTAATTTGCTCAAAAATATTTGCCTGTATCATCAGATCGAAACCGTTATAGTGTTGTAAGCTTATTTCTTATTTCTCTTTTCAATTCATCTCAGATGCGAAGAGCGTGTCTGCAGGCAATCTGACATCCAGGCTGGAGCTTCGTGAGAGATTGAAGTGCAAAAGTTTCAGATGGTACCTCATTAATATATTTCCCGAGTCTCAGTTTCCGTTAAATTATATCTTCTTTGGCAAGGTTCGTAATGAACAATTGAAACGAACTAATTAAGTGTGTTCTACTCCTTTAGCATTCGTTTTATTCTTTCCATAAATCTATTTTAGGTTTAACTGCTGGCAGAACTCATTTATTTTATAAATCGCTTGTGAAATTAAGTGACGGTGTTGGCAGACATAAAATTTAAAACATTATTCAAACGTAAGTTTCGTATTGTTTCTATTGTCATTAACCTACTCAGAGTGCCTCACTTTTCAGAAATTTAAATTTCTCACCGCATTTTCGTTCGTGATTTTAAAATACTGTTTCACATATAAATGAAGATTTACTTTTAAGTTTTGTTGGCGAAATTTTCACATATAAAGGAAGATTTACTTTTAAGTTTTGTTGGCGAAATTTCATTTATAATATGAGAACATTGAGATTAATTTACCTTTCAATAAAGATTGTCAGCAAGAAATCGAAACTCTGTACGACGGTGGTCGGTACTAAGCATAATGAGACACTGCAAGCCACTCATTGCTCCAAATCTCCCAACCAGGTCTACGCTTTCAAATGTTTTAATATCTTTAATGCGACTTGCAATAAAAGTTCATTTTATTTTTATTTAAACTTTCATATCACATGTTTACTGTAGTTTCACAACAATTGTTATTTACATTTATTGTAAACTTGCACTTATGAACATTTAAAGCTATTCTTAATGAATGGCAACCGTGCAATTCAAAATGAACATCTCTGTTTTACACTGGAATCGTTGAACCAGCCAATAAAACTTACTCAGTGCAAGAAGGAATGGCTCTTGCAGAAGTGGAGCTACGATTCCAAGGTTGTCGGCGTCTTCCAACTTCATTTCATTGCTATGATATTTTTATTCTCTCTCGTTGCCTTACTCACGAGTATCAACGAAACACAAACGCTTGTATTAAAGCAGCTTGAATTGTAGGATCACGTGATTACACTACACCTTTGTCGCTCAAAACTTATTTCTATTTAATACTATTTAATTAATTGCATATGCAATGCATCAAATGTTAGCTAAACGGTTTTGCATTAGTGAACCTTATTTGTTTTGTTATTGTGTTATTGCCAACTGCCTAATGTTGACAAGTCTTATTTTACATAGTTCAATGGAATACATTTTGTATCGCACTTGGAATGAACTTTATTATAACATTTAATTTTCAGTCACATTCAATCAGTTCTCAAGCAAAAAGATTATGTCTGACACTGAAGGACGGCCAATCTATCGTAACAAGTAGCCTTTATCTTCTACAATCTTTATTTCATTAACTATTTTATTTCTAGTGACGCAGACGTTTTATTGAGGAACGGGAATACTCGCTGCTGATGAAGGACGTATTAGAAACTGTTTTCTAATATAGTTTCATACAAGCGATTAAATGCATACCTACAAACTGATTTATAAATGATACAGTTAATTAAAATTCTCTCTCCATAGCGACAAGATGAGTTGCTGAGACTGATTTTAATTATTGAATCGACAGCTAAAAATACGTTTTTATAGACGATTTAATTAGAGGTTCCAAATTAAAATTACTGTTATTTAAAAATTTGAAAAGCGTCAAAGATATTCTACAACTTTCAATGGTTGGGATTAATACTGAAGAGTTGATCGTTAAGTACAAAAATTGTTCGAATATTTCATAATATTATTAGGTGAACATTATTTAGAAAAAAGAATTGAGTTTTGTTTAAATATAAATTTGCTGATGTGAATTTAATAAAACTACTGAAACATTTAAAGCTTGTGATAGAGACAAAAAATCAAAAAAGAAACATATTTTTCACGAATAGTTACATAATCCTCTCTTTCAAAATTATTTTTAAAATTAAGAAATCATATCCAGTTTAACGAGCATTTCAATACATTTTTAACGAAGAAACGAACATTCTAACATCAATGGTACCTACTGATTAATAATGATTGAAATGAATTTGCAATTTATTTTTAAGCATACTGCTCGACAAAGGATCCAAATCAGGCCTGGCATGTAGAAACCATGGATTGGAAAGCCACCGACGAATCTCCGCATGTCGTATAGCGAGACTTTCTCACATCGCAACGACTATTTTTGTATTTACATTTATTTATTTATTCATTCATTCATTCACTCATTTGTTTATTTGTTTGTTTATTCATTTATTTTAAGACAGTAAGGTACATTCAGTTTAGACAGTATTCATAGAAATATTTAATCAATACATGTCATTTTTCGAGTCATATTTTAATTTTTTGAACCGTACAATGAAGATTATCGTTATATAAATTACCATGAAACCAACCATTGTTAGTTTTTCAGCGTTGTAATAATATTCCGTCACCTAAGCAATATAACGTGTGTGAATTTGAATGTCATTAGTGTTTTCCACACGGCTGGTTCGTACTTTCACTAATTCACAAATAAGAAACATGGTATGCCATGCTCTGGTGCTCCGATATGTTTTGTTTTTCTTCTCGGGTAAAATGCATCCTAAGATAATATTTAGCTTCATAAATGATTTCTGTCAATGATTTCATAGTCTGCCCAATATAAGTCATTTTTTGTACAAATTTTTTTAAAATAATTCTAATTAATATTCAGATGACATTTTCTTTTTGGCTGATGTAATTTTAGATGAAATAAAAAATTTATTAATCAATATTTTGAATGTTAAGTTATTTTAATAACTTTAAAAAAGTTCTGTCACAAGTTGCTTGTTTTGGAGTGTTGAAATTACTATCTTCAATTTTTCGCCTATTGTCATTTTCTCGCACAAATATGATTTTTTGCATAGTTTTTCATTTTGCTTTTAATACGCCTTTATATCTGTTAACGTTTAAAACGTGTAATTAAGTTTTTTAAGACGATTTATACAGAACTAGTAAATGTGCATTCTGTTATCGTCAAATTTTTCGTTGCGTTAAATTCTCAAATTATATTTAGTAAACATCTCATTTTCAGTATTTGTTATGACCGAATATTTTTTTCATTTAAAAATCACCAAAATCATAACCTCTAAGTTTTTGAACAGCGTTTAAGTTATTTTTTCAGATACATTATAAATATTATAAATAACTTTTTAATTCATTTTTCTAAAAATGTAACAGCGTTTTTAATAAAAATATGTTGTTAAAGTTGCTGGTGATTTATTTACTTTTAAGAAAATAAATATTATGGTCCCACCCAGCAAAACGGTATTAATCAATCTATCAATTAGTTTGTAAAGAGCTATTCCCGCGATGTTCAACAGCGCTCCTCAGTGAATTCTGCAAACAGATGGGCCTGAAATCCGCTCTGAACTTCGTAAGTGATGGGGAAGTAGTCAGAGAAGGAGGTAGAGAGTTCCAGAGAGAAGGGCCAGAAAAAGCAAACGCAGATTTAGCAAAAGAATGTTTAACACGAGTTAAGAAGTGTGAACAAGAAGACAGCCGTAAACCAGGGCGCTTAGGTTCAATTAATATATCTGATGAGTAATTATTAATTTAGATAACAGATAATAATTTAGATTGAGATTTTTTCTTTTTATAGACAGCCAGTTTAAGAGAACAAGATATGGAGATATGTGAGAAAAGAATGGACCACGAGCAACTAGATGAGCAGCAGAGTTAAAAGCTTAACTTTGTTTAAGGATAGTGTAAAATCGGGAAGACCGTGGTAGAGAGAATTACAATAATCAATCCTAGATAAAACTAAAGAAGTAACAAAAGGAAATGAGTAGCATCGTCAAGAAAGCACATCTTTGAGCAACATGAACAAAACTGTCAGAATGTATCAGACGTCCAATAAAATATAAGAATAAGAAAATGTAATGAGTTGATCGATAGGGTTGGAAATAACTAATAAACAAAAGTGACCAATAGATTTTAACAGAATCAGTTTTGCTCTTTTTTTTAAATGTTCAATGATCGCTTGTTAAACGATGCGTTACCTAACTACATAAAGAAAATTGACGATGAGGGTGATGGCAGAAATTATTGTTATCACAATTATTTTAACAAGACAATAATTTTTAATAAATTTTCATTTAAATGTACCACCATTTTAGCATGATTTGGAACATTATCAATATCACAGCCATTATATTTAAAGGATCTTATCACCGTCAAAAAACCGGCAGATGCATACGCTGTTCAAATATACCAACAATAGCCATGCATCCTGCGTCTACAGACCCTCATTCTTCACCATCAATTTGGAACACATTGCCTGCGCAGATCAGAACATGTACACTTACTAAAAAGATTAAAAACTCACTTTTATTAGTAAGAAAAAGACCCAGGCAAAAAGTCCCTTGCTCAAATGCATAATTAATGACGCTAAGTGCATTGTTGTTGTTGCAAGTTGCATGGTCAACTGCTTATGCTTAACGCCCGAAACTTTCTGTATGAAAAAAATGTCCTATCTACGTATATTAAATAAAATATCTAGCCTATATTAAATAATTTATTGATAGCAACAACATCCAAAAAACCATCACCAATACCACCAACCGTCAGATTGCGACCCCTAGAATCTTTTCATCAACACCAACATTACAATTATTATTCCAATTAAAACCATCACCATCTATTATACATTAAGTAATAGTGTTCGATAAATACCAATTTGTGTTATTCTATGCCAGCTTCGGATCAATAATATTAATTTTCCTTTTTATATAAATTGTAGCGCATTATCTTTGGTTATATTAAAAAGTTAATCTAAGTTAGAATACGTTGGGCTGCTCTCGACTGGCTTCCAAATAAATAAGATGTCTTCTGCAGTTCAGAAACTCGCTGGCGCAGTTCCGAAGGCCATCCAAGGTTGTTTTTTTAATTATTTCTGTTTGACTTGATTTTTATACAAATTAATATAATGTTTATGTAGTTGTAAATAGATGACCTTCAATTTTGTTAAGCACTTCCAATCATTTTCATTGCATCTTTCATTCTTTTTTTATATTATAAAAGAATGAATGATGATAATGGTAGAAGATACAAGATAGAAATAGATAGAATAAAATTTTAAATAGTCTAAAAGTTTTCAATCAAACGATTTGCTTTCGCTCTTTCATATTTTCTGGTTAATTATTTATATCTTATAGAATGATTTTTTCATGAATTAGATTAGAATTTTATAATAAATTTTCATGGGATTTTGTCAGCATTTTTTATGTTTGGCTTTGTTTGGGGCAATCACATCCTGTGGTGAAGTGAATGTGACTGCTGACATTTGGCTATTGACCGCATGCCACTGATCCATTATTTTTAAATTTTATTTGATTTTTGCTTGATTTTTTTTTTTTAACTTTTTCTTTATAAATTAATATTGTAGACTTTTTTTAAAATAAAAGTCACTTTATTTTTAATAATTATAATTAAATCCAATAACTGGTATGGTAATTAAATGATAAATTCATTTCCGTATCAAAAGTGAAATTTGTAATCCCGAAAATTTGAATTTTAAATTTCTGTTTTTTTAAATTGAATAATTAGCAAGCACATATCATTGATTAATGATAAACGGCAATAATATTACAACAAATAAATATTTCCTAAAAATTCAACATAAAGTTTAAAAAATATGATATTTTAGTTAATTGACTAAAAATTGTTTTTTAATTAAACTCTAGTACATAATACAAATATCTATTCAATTCAGTTGGACGGGCCACGCTGACTCCCAAACTCAACACATTTTGGAAATATGCAAAAGTAGAGTTGAAGCCTCCAACACCCGCTGAGTGGCCTCAAGTTGCTCAGGGATTCCAGAATCTTGCAAAAGCTGTAAGGACACAGAAATGGAAACAGTTAACTGTTAAGGTGATTTAATTACAATTTGTTCATTTTAAAAACAAGGTTTGAGCTGAGTTTTATCTCAGGTATATAGTTGGTTTTGCATAAAAAATATTTTTTTAAACACCATTTACTTTAATTCATTATTATTTTGCTATTTTTAAGTTGATTGTATTACATATTAGTTAAGTGGACTTAGCAATCAAATAATTTCTTTTGCTGAATAATATTTCAGGAAGCTTTCATCAATGCAGTGGTGGCAACAGAAGTCATATGCTGGTTCTTCGTTGGTGAATGCATTGGCAAGGGCACATTAATTGGTTACCAGATCAAAGGAGCTGTTGACTTTGATTTGCATTTGTAACAATTCTGTAACTTGATGGTCCATTTTGATATGAATGTTTCGCAAAATTAAATGCATATTACATTATCAATAATTAATAAAATAAAAGTTGTTTTGATTTCTTTTATTCCAGAATAAATTTGTTTTAAATAATTTTTATTTCAAGTCGCGTGACAATTACATAGATCATGTGATCCCATAACTAACATAAGAATCACTGAGCACGGGATTCAGTAACATAGCTAATATACCTTGATTGAGAATAATGAGTTGTTGAACATCCTGCTTGCTATTGACAGGCTTCTAAATGCATGCCAAAATAGCATAACCTTCAGTTGAACTCGCACCCGTATTACTTATTATTTAATTGGTGTCTGCTCACATGTAAGTTGTGAAGCCTTCAAGTTTGTCGTTGGTTTATTTCAAATTGTTCTTGTTTCTATAAAGTAACAGCGTTGATTGAAGACAAGTTTTTATCAAAATCTAGACCAATTGGTGGAGTAGAATGTTGTCCTACTCTGCAATCTGGTCGTTCGCATTTTGAAAATAAGATTTTAAGCCAATTTTGTCCATTTAATGCAGCGTAGGCAGTCGGTTCTTTCAAATCAGCAATGAAATTTACGGACAGGCAAACAAATCATTGAGGGCGCCGGAATAATATCGTTGTGATAATTGTTAGAACTGTTGTTTAGCAACAAGTTATTGTATTTTTTAGTTGATAAATTAAGATAAGAAGACATGTCCTAACTTTTGCGAAAAGATGCCACACACGCACGGATTTGTACCTCATTAAATTACACTTTTAGAGACCATTTAAATTAGAGACCAGTTGAAACGGTAGTTCATTTTATCCGTTGTCAGGTCATGAGTAACAAAGGATAGTACAACTTCAAATTATTCAACAATATAATAAAAATTTATTTCAAACAAATAAAGGTAAATACAATGAAATGATGAATAAAATAAGACATTTCTCGATGCAATAGTAATAATTTACGATGCTAGCAGCTAGCTAATGCAAACCGCTGCTTAATAATAATACCTATTATTTTCATGCAGACACGCAGTTACACTTAACATGATGTGATGTAGCTTTGCAATCAGTGGCCGATGCACATTAATTCTCTTCATAACATCTGACCACGAAAAATTTTGAACGTAATATTTGAAAAGAGTTAATATAGAACGTTATTATTGACGTTTTGTTAGTAAATGCTAGATTCATCATACCTTGATCTTATTAAATACAAAATCGTTCATTGAAAAAAAAAGTTTCATATAATACTACTGCATGGTGAACAAGTGAAAAATAAAATACAAATAAACGAAGTTTATTGACAACTGAAATGAAATAGGTAATAATCATTAAAAATAAGTGTATATATACTTTTACGAACGAATATTAATAACGAGAATTGTAAATGAATGAATGAATCGACACTTTATAATACAGAACCCTACACGATATTTGAATGTACATAAACAGAACTTGCTAACGTAAGTGGTGTATTAACTAAAGAACAACATGGTCAGAGCTGGAACGCTACCGCCAGCTAACTAAACGAATTAAGTGAACAAATAAACAGAGAAATAAATAAATTAACGAACGAATGAATAAATATGTGAACGATGAAATAGATGAATCAACGGATTAGTGAATGAATGTATGAATGTCAAACATCATATGATGGTTTGTAACGTAATTTTTTAAGAAAAATTTAACAAGTAAACAACATGAGGATAGTTCAAGATTGTCGACTTGTTTGTACTTGTATGTGGCCAACATTCAAATTTCATTGGTTACATATGAATCTGTGGCTGTTTTACCACGTATTTATTGGTGGATAACTGATGATTTATGATATAGGGCACAATCAAACACATACTCATACACACATACAACGACACACACCACACAGAGAGAGAGATAGAGAGAGAGAGAGAGAGAAAGAGAGACATACATAAAATTACCTATAGCCACTACTAAACCCGATATAACAAATTTTGATTTAACGACAGCACTATAAAAATCTTAACGCGTTAATATTTGATTTAAATGAGATGAGTTAGTAATGAGAGTCTGCTCCTATATCATGCATGAATTGTCGCCATCACTGCCACCAACAAAAGACATTTTCACATTTTAAAGGTTATAACATGTAGAAGTAACATGATTCAACTGCTGGAACGGAAATACAACACCAATCACTGTTTGGATTTTAATAAAAATGGACGCAGCATCAACTGTTACAATCCAAGTGCATGGCTTGCTCCATTGGAAGTTTGTGATACTATCGTGAGGAGGAAGTGAAGGTTAACGGAAACCATAATCCAATCTTGAAATCTCTATCATATAATTACTCAGAACAGTTAGACCATTTATTGAATGCCTCTTCCATATTAGTCATAAAATTAAATATCATTGTAGAGTAAATTATTCCTGTATACTATACATATGCACTATATATATATATATATATATATATATGCGCAAATGAACAAACTTATATTGAATTATATATATAAATATATATAAATATATATATATATATATATATATATATGCGCAAATGAACAAACTTATATTGAATATGTGAATAACGTTAATTACAATCAGGTAACATGTAAAGAAAATCCTCCAATAGATAATGCTACTTGATTCACATCAGTCAACGTAAAACAATGTACAGTGAATTTTTTATGAGATAATTAAAACAAACCAACGTTAAAAAAAAAGGATAAAAACATTCTATGTACATACAGAGCAATGTTTTGCGTTCTTTGGTAGTTGTTGTGGTGAGGAGGTACAATGTAAATGTACAAATGATATGCGTAAACAATCTGTTGAATGGAACATTTTTTGAAAAAGTTATGCATTACACACACACACACACACACACACACACACACACACACACACACACACACACACACACACAAACAAACAAGTAAGGTATTCATACATTAAACTGTAAAAACTAAAAAATAAATTTAATGACAAAAAATAATATCCTGCCTTCAAGATGCATACCATTATCAATCATCCAACCACTTGAACTTGGGATATATCCTGATGTTTTTAATGAGACTAAATGGCTGGAACACACATAAACTTTGATACATATATTATTCATTTCAACTAACAAATACATTCATGAAATGTACATACTACTAATGAAAAATTCCTTCAACAGACAATTCAGTGAGTGACGGTTGAAAGGAATCAATGTAAAATAAATTCAGGTACATTAGAGATTTACAAACACAAACAATTCATTATCAGTTGGCGGACATTAACTTTTAATACAAACATGTTTAAATGTACTTGCCTGTAAATAACTTGAGGTACACGCAAATTCAAATATGTAAGATAAATACAAAAACATGAAGTGAAATATAATATTTGAACATAAACTGTCATAAACAATGTATTTGTTATATATATATATATATATATATATAGTGTATATAGATATACATATATTACATAGATAATATATTAAAAAATAAGATAAATGAGAAATAAAATGGAGAAGTCAACTGACAACCAAATCAATGTTGATGAATCGCTCGAGTCGTTCGATGTACTGAGGAAAAATTTCAATGTCGTTGTGGCCAGCCCCGTCCACCCAGAGGGGGTCCACTGTTCTCGGGCACCTCTGCTGAATCAGCTGACCGTGCGAAAAGTCAACAACTTCATCCTCTGTGCCATGGATGACAAGGACCAGTGAAGTTATCCGGGGCACTTTGTCTATGCTGGAAAAGTTTGTATATATATATATATATATATACACATATATATAAACACGTTTTTTGTATGCTATGTCTGTGTTGAACATGCATGTGTGTATTCATTTATATATACGTTACATGTCTGCCCTGAATATGCATGTGTGTCCATGATGAATATGTGCATGCATCTGTAATGAATGAATAAGTACATGTACGTCTATTGAATATGTATACTTATGATAAATTAGTATGTAGACACTGTCTGTGCTGAACATTTATGCATGAATTTTGAATGAAATAAAGTGCGGAAGGAGCACTGTAGCAGCACTAACCTTGGAAAAGCATCAAAGCACCAGGTACGTTTGGTATCTGGAAATGCCATCCTCAATCCTGATGTGAGTGGGGAGTGCAAGATAACTCCGCCAACTTCGTACTTCGATGCCAGATCAATTGTTGGCACTGTCCCAATACTCTGCCCATAGAGAATTATGTTCTGGGGGCACAAGCCATACCTAAAATTATTTGTGATAAAAATAAAAAAATTTAAAAACCAAAACACATTGAAAAGTTTTTTATCAACATAATGTGATTGCAACTACAAACATATTCAACCTTTTGTTAAGACACAGCCAAGCGGCTTCAATATCAGAATACAAGTGCCTCTCAGAAGGTGCACCGGAACTGCAACCGTAGCCTGTATAGTCGTAGGCCATCACATTGCAGTGCAAACGAGATCCTAAACTCACCAAGAAGCTGGTCATCTAGAAAAGCAATATTTAAATGAATTATTTAAAGAGACAATAAAAATTACAATAAAATACAAAAAATTAATTACATACATAATGAAATAAGTAATAGAAAATATTCAACCTGTCCTATATCAACTGCATTGCCATGGCTGAACAGGATAGTATATTTGGCATCAGGAACACAGTGTATAAAAATTGCTGCTATTGTTTGTTGCCTACTTGTTCGTAATGTCAAAGCTTCGATACATTCAAGCTCCCTATCACTGTATTGCCACTCAGCTTCTTCTTTTAAAATTAATTTCTTTCTACCTCCTCCCACTGACTCATCAACTATTGCATAGGATGGCTCAGGTGGTAAGAAGGCCAGTTTAGCTGCAATACGCGATGGACACGGAGGGCAACAAAATATTCCACATAGTCGTTTAACTGATTGCCATGTTACATTACCTCCACTCATCATGGCAATGCTTCAATTGTTTTTTATTTTCTTTTATGATCAGTGATGTGCTGCAATCAGGATCTTTTTTTTGGTGATCACCGGATCATCAATTTAATGATTAAATTAATGCAATGATCAAAAATCTGTATTTAATGAAAAATACATAAGTTAACTAAGTTTAATAAATTTACAAAAATATTTTCATCATTCAACTCTACTAAAAACTAAACTAAATCAAAATTAATTAATTTATAAAATCTAACTAAACTAAACTGAAAACGGAATGTGAAATTTTTGCGACTATGCTGGCAAAAATATAGAATGACTAAACTGTGATTAGCCAGTGGATTGATCATTGCATTTGTTACGTTATGGTCACTAGTGTATTAGTGGAAAACACTAATTACTACACACACCACAGCCAATGAAAAGGATTCAAAAAGACAAAACCACAAAACAGAAAGAAATACAATACAAAACAAACCCGTGTTTTTTAAGAAGGATGCATCAGGAGGAATGACGGCCAAATTTCAGATTCGTCAACAAAACGAAAACCTTAATATAAATTCCCTAATGCCGGCAAAATAATTTCAGAATATTAGGTAAATAAATAAATAAATATAACAAACACCAAAGCAAAGATAATATGCATCAACAAAAAATAAATCTTATAGCGTCAAATTAAATTGCTTGTTACTAATCCGAATTTTGGAGTCGTTTAAATTGAGATAAGAAAATGTTTTTAAACTTGTTTTCTAAATCTAATTCGGTTATATAACTCTAAATTCGTTTGGTTAATTATAGATGTTGTATTTAATAAATAAGATTTTCATATTTTCAACAGTTTTTAACCACATTTACTCATTATATTTTATTATTTTTCAAACTATTTTTTATTATTAATAGAGTTATTAAATCTTTTCAAATGTAAATTCTTGCTAAAAGGTTCTATTATACCTAATCAAGTTAAAATAAAATAAAGCAGACATTTTTGCTACAACCATTTTACGACATTAATATCATTAAATAAAATTTGTTAAAACTTCTTATTTTGTTCTAATCCGGCCGTCTGTTTAATGATCCTTTCCAAGTTTTATTTCCTCGTTTGAATGCATTTTGTTCCCCAATAAAACTAATAGTGTAGTGTTTGGTGAACCTACGTTTAGATGCATAACTTTCAGTGATTTCGTTATATAATAAATCCTAAATTTTTGGTTGGTCCCAAATGGTTTCATTTTTGATTATTCATTTAAAATATTTACATGTTCCATCTGTTATTGTTCGTTCGTAACCGTTTTATTCTTCGCAACAAACTTGCATGGTCTGTTTGAACTTTTTCATCAGAAGCGTTGTTCAACGATTGCGATGATGTAACTTTATTCGAGTGTTTGAATACAAAGCAATTAATGTGTAATCATCATTAGGCTAATTACTGCAACACGAATCTGGATTGACTCACTCATTTCATCATGCACATCGTCAACTTATTTTGTATCATTTTTAACGCACTCATACATCATCATCACTATAAACATCATCCTTTGAACGAAATGTGTTTCGGCGCATAAAGCCAGAAAAATGTTTAAAACCTAAATTATACAACATATGACATTACCTACAACACTACATACATCTCAGGCTTTTGACAGTGTTGGAAAAACAATTGCACATGTAATTTTAATGAAAAATTTTATTTTACCATTCGATATATACAAGACACCCGTTTCTATATTCTGCAAACATTATATAATTTAAAAAAAATTTAAACTGCTTCAGAAGCTTCAGAGCTGTATCTATTTAGGAACAAAATGTTGACTGAAACAACTTTTACCAAGCACTTCATGTTATTATATGAAATATAACAGAACATCATTATAATTAGCTCAGCAACTTTTTTTTACATCCATCATTGTTATTACGTCATAAAAATGCATATTGAATAAGGAAGCATTTGTGAGGAGTTCATCATCCGGGGGAGAAATAATCTGGAGCCATCGATATTCCCATTGATCCCATCTTGTCTGTGTAGTACAGCACAACGATGCAATTATAGATTAACTTTGATTAAAATGATTGCACGTCCAAACGGCCATATTTGATTACAGTCACTGGCTCGTATAAGGAGTTGTGTGAGTGTGAGAGTCTATAGTTGCGTGTTCCATCCATATGCATATGTTGTTCTATGTTTGTTATTGCGTTTCATGTATGTGGCTCGTCTTTATATGCTGCTCTTTGTTGTTATATGTTTTTTGTAGTTTTGTGTGTGTTAGTGTGTTATTGATGTGTGTTATCGTTGTTGCGTGTTACTGATATTTATTAATGTTTGTTTTTTTTGCACGCAACTGAGATTTCTGTCATCTAATGATGTGCACACTTCAAATTGCGCGAGTGTGTACGTGTGTGCGTGCGTGCGTGTGCGTGTGCAGTACACAGTAGTGCATTGGTCATTTGTTTGTTATGACAGTGCGCCTTGTCCAATCATTCGTGATGTGTGGTGTGGTGAGAAGTTTGTTTGTGAGTGCCTGCTTGCTAGTGATCTTCAGAAATAATCGCGCGAGTTTTAAGCCTTTGTTCTCTGCGTGTTGACTGACTATGCTGCTGTTCATTTAATGAATTTAATGAAATTATGCAATTTAGATGACTTAGATGACGTCAGATGAAAAAGAGATGACATTTCATCAATGGATAAGTACATGAATATTTAACATTTATTAATAGTACACCAAAAATGTTGTCGTCAGGGGCGTCATTTCAGATTTTGGTAGAGGGGGGCGAACTTATGTGGTCTATGACTTAGCATGTAACATATATATATATATATATATATATATATATATATATATATATATATATATATATATATATATAATATATTATTAATAAAGATCATGGCGTTTCTTACAGTACTCAATCTATATGATAGTTTCTCGATTCTTCGAATAATTCTCCGATCTACCAACTTGTTAATGCTATTAACAAAATTCCTATTTACAGAAGATGTCATTATCTACATGTATGCATATAGTACTATTTTGATTACCTAGTCTCGTCAGTGCAACATTATAATAAATTTTACATTTTTAAAGTTTCAAAATTTTTAAAGTTTTAAAATTACTAAATTATATATCCTTTTTACAAAGAATTTAAAATTAACACTTTTATAATTTATAATTTTAATATTTTATAATTTTTTTGGGGGGGAGGCAATTGCACCCCCTGCCTCCCCCCAAATGACGCCTCTGGTTGTCGTATCTAGTATTTATTTCTTCAATGTCTTGAAATAAGTTAGGAGATAATTTATTTGAAGCATCTTTTCATATTTTTCCCCTCAATTTAATGATTTTAATTGACTCACAGTTATTAATTGGAAATCCCGTCATCTGTAAATATCTTAACAAGAACGTGAGTGTATGTTAGGCTCGTATTTAAAAACACAGTTAGTTATTTTATTAGGATCCATAACGCACATATCAATGCTCATTGGTCCAATTATTTGATTGACAGTTCCACCGACCAATCATAGTGCAGCATTTCACGACAGGAAAACCGTGGGGTGTTATAAAAGAGTTTGTTCAGTATTTAATGAAGAACTTTTGATGAAGTGGCACGCCTCGCTGGCTGGAGCGACTGATGACATTTCGGAATGTTTGCAACAAATTAATAACATGGATGTTGGCAACAGGGTTGATGATGACGCATGTGATGATGTGTCTAATAATGGCGATGTACTGAGCACAAACTTTTCAAATAAAAATAAAACTGCTGATTGCAACAATGAAGTCACTAACGTCAACTTCATAACTAACAACAACGCTGCAACTAACACAAATTTTGTTACCAATACTACCGGGATTAGCTCCAACAATGACACTAATAATGTTACCAGTCTCCCATTAAATGCACGATGTAATAATGCAAACAGTAACCGCAGCATGTCTGATAGGGAAGATGTTTACGATGGCTGTAAAGTTGCTGACGATGGGAAGAGGACCCCACCAGAGGAGGAACGCTGCCAATTGAATCATGAAGAACGTTGGTGGTGCCTAGCAAGTGAGTCGACAACTTTCCAGTTGAAAAACAACTGCAACAACAACTGCAACAACAACTGCAACAACAACGGCAACAACAACTGCAACAACAACTGCAACAACAACGGCAACACTAGCACCAACATGACGAACATTACAAGCAGTACTCACACTTCTAACAACTCCAGTAGTACGAACAACATCAGCAAAATTATTTTATGTCAAAATAATAAAGGCAACAATCATCAACCTGACACCAATTTCAACAAAAATAAATCCAATAGTGCTACTTTTGCTGTTAAAAATGTTGTTGACATGGACAATGGTAGCAAAGCAAATGAATGTACAGCTGGGTACTTTTCAAACAACAACAATTTGCCAACTGTTAAAGAACTATCATCAAGCAACAACAATAACTTGACAACATCCATAGCGTCAACTTATCAACCAATAGTATCAAGGGAATCAAGTCGCGTGGGTGTGGTTTATTTGCATGGCCAGCCAATCGTGTCATTGAATATGGACGGGAAGGAGCGTCTCTGTCTGGCTCAGATATCAAACACGTTGTTGAAAAACTTCAGCTACAACGAAATACACAACAGGTTGTGGGTTGGTTTGGTTAGCTTGTTGATTGTTTGGCTGGCTGGTTGGTTGGTTAGTTAGGTGCTTGTTTGCTTGTTTGGCTGGCTGGTTGTTTAATTTGTTTATTCGTTTTTTTTATTTTAAACGTAAACTGACATCACTAATTTTTTGATGAAATTATGTAAGATTGATAAACTATGGCGAAACATTACATAACTAAAAACAATACGTCAAACTTATTGTGTAAATAAAAAATCTTCTATAAGATACAAACACAATTGGATAAGAATACAAAACAATAAATAATTAAAATCTTAAAACTAAAATCAAAATTTTTTTAAAATTTAATAAATCAATTAAATTGTAAAATTTGTAATTGAAAATTCAGACGTGTGGCCCTTGGTATAACATGTGTACAGTGCACTCCAGTGCAACTGGAGGTACTGAGGAAAGCCGGAGCCATGCCATCGTCTTCCAGGTTATAGACCATTAATTGATTGTTTAATTGATTGATTGTTTAATTGATTGATTGTTTAATTGATTGATTGTTTAATTGATTGGTTGTTTAATTGATTGGTTGTTTAATTGATTGGTTGTTTAATAATTCTAGTTTCGAAATTGCGCCTGTATTTTAACTTTGAAAAACTTCTCTGGCGTTTCAGAGAATATATCGGCTCAACATGTTTCTAACAGTTTTTAGTGCAAAAATTGTCGCAATTAAACAGAGTCACAGCATTCCCCACAACGAACACAATGGCAAACATTTTTAAAAGCAGTAAATAATGCTCTCGAACAGACGATGTGGAATGATAACGAAACGAGAGGCTGAACGTCTGGTGCACTCCTTTCTTGATGACGTCATCCCACCGAAACTTCCGGATGACTTCACGTTCAGGGTGCAACACGATTGTGGCTGGGGTTGCCGTGGGGCCTTTGTTCCTTCCAGGTACAACAGCTCCAGAGCCAAGTGCATCAAGTGTTTGATCTGCGATGTTTACTTCTCACCTAACAAGTTCATCTTTCATTTCCACAAGTCCATCAATTCTAAGTAAGTTTCAGTGATGCTACCTTTTCAATTTCAAAAATTTTCACATCCAGAAGTCAACATTGGCGGTTATAAAATTCTTAAAAGCAAAAAAAAACTAAAAAATAACTCGAAATCAAATTTGAAAAAAAGCTGCTAGAAGACAAAAAAACTAGCTAACTTAACAGGGCCAACAACTTCAATGAGCAACCTAACATGCTGAACCATTTCATACGCAGGTACAACCATCCTGACGCTGCCAACTTCAACTCGTGGAGGAGGCACATGAAACTGATCGATGAGAAGAAGCAGGGCGAAATCGTGTTGAATGCTTGGGAGGACGTCAAGGCCATGTTCAATGGAGGAAATAGAAGACGACTTCAACAACACCAGCACCACCAGCACCACCAACCACAGCACCATCACCAGCAACATCAAAAGCAGCAACCACTACCGCGATTTCAGCAACAACATTTCCCAACTCAACAACCACAGTCAGCCAATCACCATCAACCAAATACATCGTCACAAAATAATTTTGTAAAACCCCAACACTCGAAACAGCGATTAAACTCTGACTGTCAGCAACCAAAACAACAAACTCCACAGCAACTCCAAAGACAAAATCTTCAACACCAACAGCCCCAGTCTCTCCAACAGTTTCAAAAGCAGATTGACCACCACAGCAAAACAACTCAGCAGCATCAACTGCAACATCAAATTCCCGACAGTTTCGACTTGAAGACTTGCGCACTACAGCCTCACTACAAATCTCTCCATCTGATTAACAACAACAACAGCAGCAACCATTTGAATAAGGGGGATTCTATTTTCTTTCCCCATCTTCCTTCTTTCAACGCGCCATCCCGTCCCGACACCAACGTTTGCAAGCAGCTGCCACTGAAATGTTTCGTTGATAATGAAAAGAATGATAATAATAATTTTAATTTTATTCAAGACAAAGCTTTAATTTTCAAACAAAATTACGTTAATGACTTTTCAATATACCATCGGGTGCCACAACACCAACCCCAAACCCTCCCCCACCATTACAATCACTACCAACAATTTTTGCAGCAGCAATCGCAACAACGAAGCTTTCTATTTCCTACCCAGTTTCAACAACAGCGTCAACAGCAACAACAGCAACAACAACAACAACACAACTCCTTGAAGCATCTTACACTTTTCTACAACAAAACAATATCTAACAACATTCCTAGATTCAGCAGCAAATTTAGCACAAATGAATTCTTCAAAGATGGCATCCGCAATATCACCAGCAATAGCGAAACTGATTTCAACTTCTCAAGTTCTGAGACAGTATTTGAAAAGATGCCTCTTCCAACAGATGTACATGAGTATTCACAGCACCAACCAAACGACCAGCCACCCGACCACACGCCGCTGAACAGCCAGCTATCGAGCAGCTTACAACAGCAGCTGCACATGAAAAGTTTCCTTCCCTGGCACACACTTCCCACAACCAACTCAACATCACTTTCATCTGACCGCACTGGAAGTTTTAAAAGAAATAACGTATCACGAGCAAATAGGCCAACGGAGACAAAATTGAAAAATACAGATGTGGAAGAATGTGAGTCAAATCTGTCTGAAGGACAGGAGAGTGCTGCATTGAAAGGTCAGGAGTGCAAGAAGTGCAAGTTGGAATGTGCTGAAGACGAGAGAGATGATAAAGAGACATGCAATTGTGATGAAGATGACGACGACGACAACAACAACAACAGCAAGGATGATAACAGCGATGAAGAATTGACAGAGCAGCATTATTATTGCAATGGTTCTGACCAGGGGATCACTAAGAACGAAGATAAGAGTGATGCAGACTATAATGACGTTATAAAAAGCAACATCACCGACAACAACAAATATAAAAGCAATTATGATGATCAAAGAACATTAACCAGTGAAACAACTTTTGATAGCAAAAGAGAAGTGCAAGAGTGTAAATTTCACCGACCGTTCCTCCACATTGCACCTGATGACAAAACTAATTTTTCACTCCAATTTTTGTCAAATCCAACACCCCAGCAAGTTGAAAAATCAACTTTTAATCACATTTCTTTATTGCCATCATCATCATCTTCATCGCCATCACTCATCTCTTTTTCTTCTTCATCATCAGCATCAATATTTTTATCTTCACTCTCCCCCTTAGCCTCACTCCCACCAACCACGCTGTCTTCCTCGGCATCGTCAACGTCATCACACGAAACACTTTCAATCGCAACAATCCCGTCAGATTGGAAACAAATTCACAACGCACTCCCCCTCACAAACAAATTTTTTAATCACTGCGAGTCGTTCTTAAAGCCACTTTTGTTGCAGCAGCAGCAGCAGCACCAGCAGCAGCAGCAGCCCTATTTGCAAATCTGCGCGTTGAAACCGTTCCTAACAAGACAGAACGCCTTTCCACAAGGACTTCAAAGGCTGCCCATCTATTTCTACCCGACCACCACTCCCATGTCACCGGTTTCTTCTTTCTCTTCGTCATCAGCATCTCTTTCAACCGCACCAATTCCATCAACATTTTCGTCGGTGGTGACGTCATCATTCACGAGTTTCAGCAGTGGACCAAACTTGCGTCATCATCATCATCATCATCATCATCAAGTGTTGGAATATGATCACCATCTCTTTCCTCCTCTTCGTCATCAGAAGCAACCACAACAACCACAACAGCCACAACAGCCACAACAACCACGACAGCCACAACAGCTACACTCACATGAGCGCTTTCAATCAAACCAACTGGTTGCCTCACACGGAGAAAACAGACGATGCATTGCATTCGACGTCGTCATTAACAAACTTGAAAATGACGTCACTAATTTCGATGACAATAAACATGATGGAAATGATATTTCAAACAGCAAAACCAACCTTGACATCAACAGTCTGGTGACAAGTTATACAAAAGATGGGACCAACGAAAAGTTTCTTGAAGAACCTGTTGACCAAAATGTAGGCACTATAGAGAACAACGATAACATCGACATTGATAATAACAACAATAACAATAACATCAACACTGATAATAACAACAATAACAACAACAATAACATTAAGGAAAACGACGGCACTTATTTCAGTAACGACACCGACAACATCAACAGTTCTTGCAACAAAAACGTAATAAACACAACAGCAATTTCCAATTCAAACGAAACGCGGGACAAAGCCGATGACGGCAGTGAATGTGTTAATGACATTCACTTGCACACATGCCACACAAACCATGTTCATACTCCTTCTCTTCAAACAAATCAAACGAACAACAAATCGTCCCAATGCAAAAATGTGAACGTAAAAACAGAGCTGTGCTTCTTCGAATTGAATGAATTGACCTCACACTCATCACCACAGCCAACTTCATCAAAAGCGTTTAAAAGCAACAGTAACTCTTTTCCACCATTGTCACTCCTGTCGTCATCTTCAGCACTGACGCCAAACAACCTAGCATCTACCAATGTAACAACTGTTTGCATGACAGCAAGACACGTGACAACAACAACAGCAGCAGCAGCAGCAGCAGCAATAACAACAACATCAACAACTCATTTTGCAAATCACGTGACCACGAATCACGTGGCAACAGCTCAAGATGCAACAAGTAGATCTAACAAACTGTCAGCATTTTCCATGAAATCCTTACTGGGAATATAGTTTATGAAATAGCAGCTGAAAGAACAATCTACAACGGCCACCAGAGAGAGAGAGAGAGAGAGAGAGAGAGAGAGAGAGAGAGAGAGAGAGAGAGAGAGAGAGAGAGAGAGAGAGAGAGAGAGAGAGAGAGAGAGAGAAAGAGAGAGAGAGAGAGAAAGAAAGAGAGAGAGAGAGAGAGAGAGAAAGAAGTAAATAAAAAGAGAGAGAGAAAGATTCTAAGACTCAGCACGATGCACTCATTCATCCCATCTCATATTTGTCCTCATGTGCCGCACCTGTTATTAATTGAATCGTGCAAATCTTATACAATTATACAATAATTTAATTTAATTGTACAGTGAAATATGTTAAATTTTTTTTTTGTTTACATACAAGCTTTACATATATCTGCCACTTAGTTTCATAGAATTATCCAATGTTAGACATAGCTTTTGTGGATAATTTGTGAGAAAAAAAAACCAGTTAGTTAATCAAATTTATTGTGTGTATTTCTGTAAAACGTCAAAATTATTGAGGATGTTTCGGTTTATAATTCATAAGTATATGCGAGACATACGTTAACATGTTCGTGATTCGTATCAGTGAATGAATGATTGAAACTAAAGTAGAAATTGTGAAATTGTGAGGTGAAGATTTTGTGTTACTCCTCGTGAATGAAACATTCCAGATTTTAATGAATAGATTGTTTTGTGAAATCAGTGAAAAGGATCAAATTGTTAAAAATGCGGAAAATTGTGAAGAAAGGTGCACGGCAGAAAGTAAATGAGATGAAGCTGATAAATCAAAATGCATCTTCAAATTATACCTTTTCTTTTGAAATAACAATTTGAATTTAAAGATCAAATAAAAATATTTTGGCAGGATTAAAAATATAAATAAGAAAACAAAACCTAAAAAATGAATTAACTAGGTTATCTAATTTACGTACGTGCATACACCCATGTCTAATTTCAAGACGCTTGTCATCAAGGTGCTGGATGTGGTTGACGCGTCGTCTCAACATTCAATTAAATCATTTATTACATTCACTGAATTATTTATTTTAAGAAAATATTTGGGTGACATTAAGCATCGACACAAATTTAATCACCTAAATTGAAAACGCACACAATAAGACAAATATACAAACACATAAAATTAAATTAGACTAACATACGTGAGATACACCACATTAGAGCAGAGAGAGAGAGAGAGAGAGAGAGAGAGAGAGAGAGAGAGAGAGAGAGAGAGAGAGAGAAAGAGAGAGAGAGATAACCCATTTTGACGTTAAATTAAATTAGACTAACATACGTGAGATACACCACATTAGAGCAGAGAGAGAGAGAGAGAGAGAGAGAGAGAAAGAGAGAGAGAGAAAGAGAGAGAGAGAGGGAGAGAGAGGGAGAGAGAGAGAGGGAGAGAGAGAGAGGGAGAGAGAGAGAGGGAGAGAGAGAGGGAGAGAGAGAGGGAGGGAGAGAGATAGCGAGCAAAGGAAAAAGAACACTGATGATGCAGCGCAAAGCAATCATCTTCTTTGATTAATGCAATTAACATGAGTATATTTACCTTACGCAGTAGGTCACATATAATTACGCGCATTAACGATAAATCCACCCGTCCAAGATACAACTACATAATTAATTATGCCTCTTCTCGGATAACACATGTGTGTGAATGTACGTACAGTACGTGTGTACGTGTATGTACTGTAACAG